CGATCCTGACCCAGTGTGGCCATTGCTCAATGGGGGAGAATCGTGCAAACCTTGCCCTTCAGTGGGAATCACGATTTGTCCACACGCCGTGCCTGCGCGTGCTGGTTGTGTGAGTGAGTGATGTTCGTGAGGTGATGGCAGAGGCCCTGGTATAATGGCCCTGCTGTGCTGCTCCAGGAGCCTGGCTCTTCTGCCCCGGGCAGGGGCACGGTGGCCAGGCCACGGCCTGTGGCTGAAGCCCCTGTGTCCACCACAGCCCAGTGGCTGCGGCTGCCTGGACACCTCCATGTCCAGCTCGCCCACTAAGGTCTGGACACGTCACCTTCGCCCCGCTGTCACTGTCCCGGCAGGTTTGGGGTTCTTTCCCATGCAGCCTCGGCTCTTTGGGGGACCCAACAGGAGGGCCACGGGTGGCGTGCTGGGCACCGCGGGGTTGGAGTGCCGCAGGACGGGGTCTGCTGGGCAGAGCTCTGGACAGTGGTGCAGGACGGCGCGCGTGGGGCGAGGAGGACACCGAGTCAGGAGTGGGCCTCTCCTCACCTGTGTGTCATGGAGGGAGGGGTGCCTCTTGTGGTTTATTCTGGGGCGCATTGGCGTGCACCCCCTGGCGGTCAGGTGGTTCCTGCCTTCCACGCACCCACATGCGTGCCCTCGTCCCCGGCACCCGCACACCTGATGCTCTCAGGCTCATGCGGGAACGCGCAGCCTCTGCCCGTCCCCCTCCGTGCTGAGGAGGGCCCGTCCCCCGCAGGCCACCGCCGCACCTTCTGTTCCCCGTAGGTCACTACAGCTACACGGAGAGCCGCGTGGAGAAGGACGGCCCGATCCTCACCAGCCGCGGCCCGGGCACCAGCTTCGAGTTTGGCCTGGCCATCGTGGAGGCGCTCAGCGGCGCGGACGTGGCCAGCCAAGTGAAGGCCCCACTCGTGCTCAAGGACTAGAGCAGAGCCTAGCCCGGGGGGAAGGGCATGGGGCGCCGGGCTGTCCCGTCCCGACCCGACCCGTCCCTGCAGTTCCACAGAGCCTCCCCTCCGGGGTTGTCCGTGTACATTTCTGACCTTGTTTGCACAATAAATAGGGTGTGTAGAAAGCTGTGAATTGCTTCCTGTCATCTTCAGCTTTGGTTTGCAGCCCAGAAAGGCTGCTGCAGCCCCTGGGAGGAAGGAGGCCCGGAGTCTTCCCCACTCCAGCCATTACCGCTCTCATCTTTCCTGTAGGGTCTCCTGGTTTTGCCCAGGGCCAGCCTCAGACTAGGATCCTCCTATGTGTGCCTCCTGGGACGCTGAGATCAAAGACATGCACCACTATTTTGACTTGTTTCAATGAGACCTAGGCTGGCTTTGAACCACATCCTTCTGACCTCTGCCCCCCTACAAAACAGATTTCAGGCATGCATCATTACACTAGTTCATCAACTGCATTTACCGTGTTATTAAAAATTCTAATGAGCCAGGCACCCTGTGGCTTACCTATAATTCTAGCTACTCAGGAGGTTGAGATCTGAGGATCACAATTTGAAGCCAGCACCAGCAGGAAAGTCCATGAGATTCTTTATCTCTAACTAGGTTGCTGTGGCTCAGTAGTAGAGTGCCAGCCTTGAGCAAAAAAGCTCAGGGACAGCACCCAGGCCCTGAGTTCAAGCCCCATGCCTGACAAAAACAAAAACAATGAAGCTGGCTGCCAATGGATGGTTCATGCCAGTAATTGTACCTACTCAGGAGACTGAGACCTGGAAGATCACTGGCTGCAGCCAGCCTGGGCAAAAACGTCTAAACAGCAAAATGCTGTGTCAGAGGCATGGCTCAAGTGGTTGCCGTGAGCAAATATACCAAGTGATAGAACATGAGGCCCTGGGTTCAAGTCTGCACAGGTGTGTGTGTGCATGTGCATGTGTGTCCAGCATTCTGGGAGTCACTTGGTTTCTTCCTGTAGTTAAAGCGTGCACTGAGGCAGGCATGTGACCCCAGCTCTGCTGCATAGAGCCTCCCACCCGTCAGCCCAGATCTGCCAGTGAGTGAGACTCAAGGCCTGAGCCCCACATAACTGCCTGTGCTTGGAGTGGCCAAGAGAATATGTGGCAAAGCTGGAGCACTGGCAGCCATTCTGTTACTGTGAGGAAGGGGCTATTGGGGGTGGCCGTAGTTGACTAGTTCCTGATCTAGAAAGGTGCAAACCTAAGTCCTCATTTTGATAGGCAGTTGGAAAGACTGGGGAGGCAGGAGAGGAGGGGAGAGAGCGTGCGGTCAGTCGTTGGCATGAGAGGTGACATTAGAACTGCCGGGCACTGGTGGCTCACGCCCTGGCTTCACAGCCAGCCTGGGCAGGAAAGTTGGTGAGACTTTTATCTCCGGAAGTGGTGCCGTGGCTCAATTGGTGGAGCACTCACCTTGAGCTGAAGAGCTTAAGCACCCAGGCCCAGAGTTCAAGCCCTGCACCAACAAGAAAACTGCCTCTGCGACTCTGCAAGCTAAAGAGGGTGGCTAGATTTTCGCTCCCTCAGTTGGTCCGTTGAGCCTCTGTTACATGTCAAGCTCTTCCTGCTCAGTGACTGAGCGGTGGAACTAAGTCTTAGAGTTGGAGAGATGAGCGGCTTTGCATGCGTGGCCTGTGAAAACAGGCCCAGAAGACGGGCAGGGCCGCTTCCTGCGCACCGCGGGCTGATAGGAGGCTGGTGTCTGTAGAGCGCCGCCTGGGTACAGGAGACAGTGCGCAAAGGTCCCGAGGCCGGCCTGGGCCGGGGTGTGGCGCTGCAGAGCCTTCGGGTCCCGGGGCTCCTGGCCCTGGTTGGAAGGTGCTGGGGTTCGGCCTCACTGCCTGGAAGGCTCACTCCAGATTGGACCTTGGTAGGTGCTGAGCAGTGGAGGGCACCAGCCTGGTAGCATGGCAGGGGCACAAGGCAGTGCCCTCATTTCCAGCAGGAGCTGAGGCCACGTTGGCCCTGCACTTGTGCGTCGGGGTCGGAAAGGACTGTGGGGGCGGGGGGAGCGCCCTGAGGCCGCAGCACCGAGCGCGAGAGGCGGGGGCGGCCATCCCAGGGAAGGCATGCACAGCCTGCAAGCACCGGCGTCTGGGCCTCACCCAGCCTGGGGGTTTTCCCTGCAGCCCCCACCTGCCCACGGGAAGGGAGATGGGGAGATGCGCTGCCCTGAGCCCCGGGCTCCCGTTAGACCTGCCCTGGAGGACGCTCTGCCGCTGATCACGGGGGGCCTCGGTGAAGGCCGTTCTCCCTGGCAGTCTGGGGCTGGGGATCCAAGAACCGGCCATTCTCCAGTCACAGCTGGGCATGCAGATGAGGGGTGAGGCCGCGGGGCCTCCTGCTCTCCTGCGCTGGACACCGGCTTGCTGGCTACAAGCAGCCAGGGCGCCGGAGCCCGCCGGGGAGCTGCGTCATAAGAAGAAAGAGGAGGTGCGATGACCAGAGGCCCAGGTGAGCGTCCCTGGAGGAGGTGACTGTCCCCGCCCCCCTAGGGAGTTTATCACCCAGGTGTCCATCAGCACCCTGGGAAGCCGCTGGCTGCTGGCGCAGGTTTTAGGGGTCACGTCTGCCATGCGGCGTGAAGCGCACAGAAGGTCGGCCGGTGGCGTGCGGAGGCGCTGCTGTGGTTCACGCAGGGGCTGTGGACTTAGCTGGAACTGCCCTGTCCTAAACTTCAGCTGAGGCAGGCGGACCGGCTCTGAGAAGAAATCGAATGATGGGTTTACCATCACCACCTCCGCCATCAGCATCACTATCATCTCCATCACCACCACCACCATCACCACTACCACCACCATCACCATCACCACCACCATCACCATTACCACCACCACCACCATTACCATTACCACCACCACCACCATCACCATTACCACCACCACCACCACCACCACCACCACCACCACCACCATCAGCATCACTATCATCTCCATCACCACCACCACCATTACCACCACCACCACCACCATCACCATCATCACCACCTCCATCATCAGCATCAGCTTCACCATCATCTCCACCACCACCACCACCACCACCATTACTACCACCACCACCATCACCACCATCACTATCATCATCATCACCACCGCCACCACCACCATTACCATCCCATCCCCATCCGCATGATCTCTAGAACTGGGCCTCACTCAGATGAGCTCAGGCCCACAGGGCCACGAGGCTGTTGGGCCTCAGCAGCTCAACTCCTGTGCAGAGCTCCTTCAGTTTCTTTTACTTTCCTGTAAAAAAAAAAAAAAAGTGTGTGTGTGTGTATTCAAGTATCCCTAGAAGTTTTTCCATGGCCTAAGAATAGCTAGAGAACCAGGTGTGGAGACACATGCTGTAGTTGCAGCTACTTGGGAGGATTGCCTTTCGAGCCCAGGCCAAAAAAAGGAAGTGAGACCCCTCTACCCCCATCTCAGCCAAACACAAGTGCCACCAGAGCAGCCTGGCAGAAAAGCATGCGTCCCGATTTGAAATAATAGTTAAAGTAAAAAATAACAATTGGGATGCAGTTCAAGTCTCCGAATGCCTGACTAGCAAGCTGGGGTCCTGAGTTCAAATCCCAGTGCTGCCAAACACTAGCACCATTAGAAGGGCTGGGTTGTAGCTCCGTGGCTGCATGTCTGCTGAGCACATACAGGGACCTGGGCTTGAGCCCCAGCACCACACAAATAACCAAGTAATCTTACACTGGAACATTCATGCTCTTAACATTTGTGATGAGCACTTCCTAGGTACAAACTTGGGTTTGTGACACGAAGCCCAGGGGCTGCGGGGGGGGGGGGCGCGGCCAGGGCGCGAGTCTGCCTGCCCCTCTCTCCTTTCTTGGCTGGAGGGCTTTTCTCCAAAGCTAGGCAAGCTGCAGAAAGTGCCTGGCTCCAGGTCCTTCCTACCCTTACCGAGGAGGAAGTTGTATTCTGTTTCTAGAGCAGATGGAATGCAGTTGGGGTCAGAATTGTGTTTCTGGGTCCTTCAGGTGTCTCCAGCCTGCCGGGCAGAGCGCTGGGCGGGCTGGCTGGAGCCTGGTAGCCTGCAGGGCAGAGCGCTGGGCTGGCTGGCTGGAGCCTGGTAGCTACGCCATCAGCTTTGCAGAATGCACAATTCTTAGCCAGGTGCTGGTGCCTCACACCTGTCATTCTAGCTACCTGTCATTCTAGGAGGCTGAGATTGGAGGATCGAGGGTCAAAAACAGCCTAGGCAAGAAAGTCCATGAGACTTTTATTTCCAGATAACCAGCAAAAAGCTGGAACTGAAGCTGTGGCTCAAGTGGTAGAGCACCAGCCTTGAGCTGAAAAAGCTGAACGTGCTAGGCCTTGAGTACACACACACACACACACACACACACACACACACACCACCTCTCCACTTACCTTGCTGGATCACCGTCTGCAGAGGCATGGGGGATGGGAGAAAGGCTTGCTGGGTCTAATCTGGGGGCAGAGGCCGCAGGCCCCTCAGATCTGGCCTTCAGCAGTAAAATAATGCAGTAATGAAGTCAGCAGAGGCCACAGGCAAGATTAAGGTCACCCAGTTTCCTAATGCGTGGTTATGCCGCACTCCTTATCCGGGAGCAGACACCATTATCTCCCGGGGAGGCTGGTGATTTTGTCCTCAGTCCCTGAGGCCACAGTTCATTGCCACTTGGGGCTTAAAATGCTTTTAAAACATCTTAATTATATACCAGTCAATACCTGCTTAGAAAAGACTCAGACAGCACAGGAATGCATAAAGCCAGGACCTGGGGGGCTTTTTCCTGCCCTCCGCCCAACCCCACTTCCTCTCCCAGGAAGTCCTGGGGTCCCCTCCTCCAGTCTGTTTTCTGTGAATTCACACACATGTAATGGTGCAAGCCGGTGTCTACATGTTCACTCTGGGTGTACATAGCAGCCTGCACGGGCTAGTTTCAGAAGTTATTTTTAAGTGAGTAGATAAGAGGAGCTATTATGAACATTGTTGTGCAAATCGGAGTTTTTGGAGCTCAGTGTGTCTTGGACGTGTGTGTGCCCGTGTCCAGGCGACTTGCTTGATGCTGGTAGTTGAGCAGGATCACAGCACAGCTGTTCTGGGATGGACCGACCTCCCCATCTCTCTGTTACCAGATTTCCCTGTACCCCA